CAACCTGGCCTTGGACACTTCCAGGGATGGGGCAGCCACAGCTTCTCTGGGCAACCTGTGCCAGGCCCTCACCACCATCTTTAGTCAATTAGAATGGCACAGTTTTGGGGGTTGTTGTGTTAAGCATTAATCATACCATCAATCAATACAAATGTCTCCACAGGGTGTCAGAGGATGGTGCCAGGCTTTTTCCAGTGGTGCCCAGTGATGGGACAAGGAGCAATGGCCATAAACTAAAACACAAGAAGTTCCACCTCAACATGAGGAAGGACTTCTTTACACTGAGGGTGGCAGAGCACTGGAGCAGCTGCCCAGGGAGGGCGTGGAGATCCCTGTCTGGAGACATTCCAGACCCACCCGGACAGTTCCTGCTCCAGGTGACCCTGCCTTGGCAGGGGGGTTGGACTGGATGATCTCCAGAGGTCCCTTCCAACCTCAGCAATTTTGTGATTCACTGAATCAGATGATATTCAGAGGGTACAGAACATCATCTCTAAGAAAATGGGTGAGAAAAACAGAGTTACACATGGACTAGAAAATGAAGTGTACATGGTTATTGGCCATCCTGCTGTAGGTTGAACCCCTGAGGTCCTGCCCAGCTTTAATGGATATTTTTGTAGCACAAGGTGGTTTGAACACCGAACTAAACCAGTTTTTATATTTAGAAAATAGTTCCTAACTTATCTTTTAAATTTGTCTTCCTAAAGAGAACAGATCAAGAGAGTGAAAGACTCGGATGACGTGCCCATGGTGCTTGTTGGGAACAAGTGTGACCTGCCCACGAGAACAGTAGACACAAAACAGGCTCAAGAATTAGCAAAAAGCTACGGAATCCCCTTCATAGAGACCTCTGCAAAAACGAGACAGGTGAGGTGCTCCCCTGGGACCTGACTCCTCCCTGCTGTGAAACATTGGCTGCTCTGACATTTCCCCCTGTGCTTGGGCCTGACCTACAGGAGAAGCATTTTTTTTACAGTTTTTAGCTTTCATTTCTCAGCTTGAGAGAGTTTTGTGGTTATCACTGGGCAGGGCCAGGACAGGAATCACTTCAGACTTGTCCTGACTCCCTGTTCAGTGTGTTGTGGCTGGAAGAAGAAGAGCAGAGCTTCACCTGCTCTCGCTGCAGTTCATCATCCCAGACCTGTTCAGTTTTCTTGGCTTCTTAATGAAAGCCAATTACAAGATTATGTTTGCAGACAGAATTCCCCCAGACTGGACTAATGGGCTTCTCCAGAGCTGCCTTGAACACGTGGCTCTGCCCAGTCTGCAGCAGGAGGGAGGAACCAGAAAAGGTGCAGTTATTAAGCAGTAGCCAGAAAATTCTAAGGAATTAAATTCCAGGAATTCTAAAATGGAGGTGATTAGGCAAGAAGTAGCTTGTTTCCTGCATGGAACCTCCTTATAGTTTCAGTTTTCTATGTTTCTTTTAAGGGCTGTTGCCCCAGGGAGAGTCAGGAGTGTGAGGGGAGAGTTTGGGACGTGGAAGTTTTATCCACTCACGAGCCCTGGGATGAGCTGGGTGCTGCTCTTCCTGTAGAAGTGTGTCTTTCAAATGCATTAAGGGCTCCTGGGATGGAAAGATCAGCGATTTCAGAAGCTCCAGGAAAGAAAATGCTTGACCTTCCCTTTGCCTTCAGGGCGTGGAAGATGCTTTTTACACACTGGTGAGGGAGATCCGGCAGTACCGGATGAAGAAGCTCAACAGCAGCGAGGATGGGAACCAAGGCTGCATGGGATTGTCCTGTGTTGTGATGTGAAAAGGTGAGCTGGCACTTCAGTTTTCCACTGGCTCCTTGTCTTTTTGCCTTCCAGCAGTCGATAAACGTGGCTTAGAAACGCTGGTTGCCATAGGTGGGGGTTTTTTTCCCCTTCTGTACAACCTATTGATTCCCAGAGATTTGGATCCCACAATTCATTACTGCTCAGAAAAAAAAAAATAATAAATTCCCCTCTAAGTTGATGACAACGCTTAAGAAAAGGAAATTTCATCCACAGCATTTTGGCTGTTGTGTGTGGGTGGATGGAACAAGATGATCTTTAAGGCCCCTTCCAACCCAAACCATTCCATGATTCTGTGATTTCCACTGATTTCGATGGTGTGATTTTCTGTGTCATCCCTGGCAGTGTCTCCTTCCTTTGGGATTCCATTTGGACTCTGGAGGGTGTGTGGTTTCTGTGTGCACACAAGAAACACCTGAACTGGAAAGGAGTGGGCACAGTTGTGCAGTCCCCGTGTGCTGCTGATTGATTGACTCACCTGATTGATTGATTGATTGACTCACCTGATTGATTGATTGACTCACCTGATTGATTGATTGACTCAGCTCACCTTGAGCTGAGTTCCTCTGGAATGTGCTCAGTTCCAGGATTAACCAAATAAAATGGTGCAAGTAACGCAATTTGAGCTCCCGGCTGAGTGAAATTCCTTTCAGCAGTTCCCTAAAAGATGTTGCTCATCACTGTGAACACAGACAGACCAGTTCAGGGCTTGCACTGCTACACTGTGGCACTGCAATCCATCCCAGAGTTGCCCAGCAGCTAATTAGGTGCTAATTGGAGGTGCCTTTCTGTTCCAGATGCCAGGAGAACGTGGTTCAGGTGCAGCTGCTGGACGAGTCTCGATGCTCCTGTGCTGCATCTCATGCTGATGCCCTGCAGTGTTTTGGTGCCAGTGGCAGACTCTGGGCACCAGTTAATTAGCACAAGGTCCTTTTCCGTGCTCCATCTGAAGAGAACATCCGTGGCATCTACCTCCCTGCTCAGCTCCCAGAGCAGCAGCATCTCTGGATGTACTGGGATTCTTTTCTCACTGTGTTACCTGGGTTTGTCCAAGAAGAAAACCAGTCACAAAAGTGAACTATAGAGACTAAATGCTGTGAAAAAGATGACACTTTACCTCTAGAAGTGCTGTGTGTCCCCTGTCTGTTGGATTCCGTGCAGTGCTGTCAGAGGAGTGGCACAGAGTGATGTCACCCGTGGTTGTGTCACCAGGAATGCCCCTGTCCCCTGTCAGACGGGTGTCTGCTCTCTGGGCAGCAAAGTGCAACATCTCCACTGTGCCAGGAGTGCCACCTGCCTGATCCCTGATTTCTGTAATAAAGAGGAAAACCTTTCCTAATTAAGTGCCTGTTTGCTAAGAAGATTAGAAGTTGTCCCTTGGGTTGAGGAAAACCCCAAGGACTGGAATTTCTTGGGAGCTCATTGTCTTAAGCAGGCAAGTGTGGTGTGGGTGATCTGTGCCTGACAGGACACTGCAGCAGGAATTTGTAGGCTGGAAGGTCCAGCAGGCACTTGTGAGACTCCTGAACAAGGCAGGGGACACACTGCACCTGTGTTTTACTTTCTTTGTGGGTGGAACAGTTTATACTCTGTCTTGTTTTCCTGCAGCATTCAGATCTCTTCCAAGCTGGACCAAATCATTCTGCTGCTCATTTTTAACATGAACTGCCAACACTTCTGGGCAGCTTCTCACTAGTTAATCTGGTAACTGGAGGTTAGTTTGGACAGCTGTTCCTCAGCTCTCTGTGTAACTTGCAAATTGTTTTATTTTGAATTATTTTCTTACCACCAGACTGTAAAGAGTCTCTTCAAAATGTCTCTAGACTGTGAAATGTAGTTGGAGAGTTTCCTTATCGGGGGTTTTGGGTTGACTGTCACAGACTGGTTGCTCCATCCCTGGGAGTGTCCAAGGCCAGGTTGGACAGGGCTTGGAGCAACCTGGTCTGGTGGAAGGTGTCCCTGCCCATGGCAGGGGGTGGAATGAGATGATCTTTAAGGTCCCTTCCCACCCAAACCATCCTGGGATTCTGTGATGGAGGGGAGAAGGCAGTGAGCTGCCACAGAGATCTGAGCCAGCTTCTGATTGCAGCATCCTTGCAAAATGAGGAAGGAAATGAGTTCAGTGATGACTTCACAGAAGGTGTGGGACAGACTGATGGGAATTCTGGGCCTGCTCTAACTCACAGCCCCCGAGTAGGAGGGCAGAGCTGCGTGAGCTCTGTGAGTTCTTCCCCCGTAACCGGGTGTCCGAGGGTGGTCACTGCTGCCAGACCCGCCCGTGTTCCTTGCAATGCTCTGTCCTTCCCTAGTTCTTGTGCTGCTGGATTCTGTTCCATGGGGTCAGGCAGTGTATCCCCCAGCACAGCTGAATTCCCAGTCCCTCTGAGGGAGGAGGAGGGAGCCTTCAGCCAACAGAGGGAGCGTTTGGTCAGTGCCGGCCCAGCGGGAGCAGGGAAATTGTGAGAGGCTTCATTTCAGTTTGTTGGTGTCAGTCAAACATCTTCATTTGGAGTTCTCACTTTCAAGTGGAAATTAGAAATCAGTAAACAGAGAGAGAAGATTTTTTTCCTCTTAATGTTGCTTCCTTCACTGCTTACATTCTAAATTCTCCTCTTGGAATGAAGAGGATCAATCTGCGTCACGTTTTCTTTATCTCTGATAATCCTTATGAGTACTTTTTGCAATTTATTTTACCTCTGACTGATGTGACGCTGATCAGAATTAAACCCACGATATTTTTACAGAAAACCTTCTTTTCCAGCAACGTGCACACAGTGGTGGGAGAATTGTGGATACCATTGGCTGTGGCTCGAGTTGAGTTTGTTTGAAGATGTTTCCCAGGGAAGCTGTGGCTGCCCCATCCCTGGAAGTGTTCAAAGCCAGGTTGGAGCAACCTGGGCTAGTGGAAGGTGTCCCTGCCCGTGGCAGGGGGTGGGACTGGATGAGCTTTAAGGTCCTTTCCACCCCAAACCATTCCATGACTGGTCTCATGCTGCAGGTTAAACGTGGCAGAACTGCCATCAGTGCAGGCTCTCAGGGCCAAGAGAGTTTTGTCAAGAAAAGTTTTCTTGTGAAAGCATTCCGTGTGGCAGGAGCTGACTGTCTGCTTCCAAAGGGACACACTGTTGTCCAGTTAATAAAATCACCCCTGGAAAAAGGGTGATTTTGGGATACACATCTGGTCACGTGGAGGCAGCACTTGGGAAGAAGCAATGAGGAGTTTGCAAGAAGTTTGAAGGGTGGGATCCCGTCATCCAGGTCCTGCCTGGGTTTTGATTGTTTGGGAAGTGTAGGAAGCAGGATTGTTCAGAGCAGGGCTGCCTGTGGCCACGGGAAACCTTTGGCAGGGAGCCTTTGATGTCTGAAGTCTGTTTGGTCAGGTATGGAAGATGATTCCTTTTGGGTGGAGGTTCATCATGACGATGCTCCACATTGCACAGCGTGTTCTGGTACATTCAGCTGTAACTCCAAAGGCAGGGAATTCTCAGAAATGTGTGGGAACTGACTGGCAAATGCACCTGCTTTCTCTTTGCTGTTCCCTTTCTCCTGGGCTCTATAAAAGGGAAGAAGCCCTGGTAAGGATAGGTCTGCATTTATGTCACCTTTGGAACCTTCACAAGGGGCTGTATCAGGTTTTAGGATACTGCAGAGCTGACCTACACAGGTGGTTTAGTTCCAAATCCAGCAGCTACTACAAAATCAGGGTGTTGCACTAGTCAGGAGTGTGAAGTAAATGGTTGTTCTTCATTTCCAGCTTTTTGTAGAGAACCCTGGGTTTGGTGGCAGCTGAGAACTGTGGAAGGACAAAAACCCCAGGAACTTTTGGGGAAATTCTTTAGAAGATAAGCACAGGAGGTTTTGCACAAGACAGTCCCTGGAAAAGGTGGTTTGGTAGATTTACTCTAAATGTTATTTACAACTAACAGCACAACACCATCTTAGTGCCAAGCTGATTTTACTGTCCTGACTGGGAAGAAAAACAACTTAGAGGTAAAATATTAAAAAAGGGTAAAGCTCTTGTTCAAAAATTACAAGTGCCAATAACTGTAATAAATGTTTCTGTTGCTGTGGCTGAGAACAGGAACCAGTGTAGCTCTGTGGTAGTTCCTCTTTGTGTCCCCACTCCGTGGTCTTGTTCAAACAACTGCTCAGATTTAGTTCTTGTCCTTGGTAGGACTTTGGGTATTAACCAGGATGTTCAAGGTGTTATAATTTTTAGCACAGCTCAGTGACTTAGAATTGGATTTCAAGCAACCTCAGGCCCGTGGGGGAAGGAGAGCAGTGGAAGATGAATCACATTCTGACCTGTATGTTCTCCTTTACGCTCCAAACCTTGAGTGTCTGCCTGTGATTAACCTCCAGGATCGTTGGGAACTGTTGGGATCTGGACTTTTAACCCAAGGGCTAATTTGTTGTTACTTTGTTTAATTATTTGCTTTCAGTAATGCATCTCTTTTGGTTTGAATTGAAGTAAATTATTTTGCTTCTTAAATAACTTTTTTAAAGAATAAACTTCGAATTCTTTGCTTGTTTCTTTTGTGATCTGGGCACAGGAGCCACGAGTAGATTATGGAAAGTTTATCAGCAGTGCTCTGCTTTCCCTGGGGGATGAGATTTACTCCAGTTGTCACTTCTGTCGTGGGGCATGGGCAGCTGGATCACAGATGTGCCCTGGAGCATCAATTAGCAGTGAGAGTGGCCTTGAGACCTGCCACAGGCTTGGTCCAGAGTCCAGTTTTTAATGACTTCAGCAATCTGTGCATCTTGTCGAGTCTCTGTTTGCAGTGGGGTTCCTCATAATATTTTTGCTGACTTTGTCCTTGCTGTGTCAAAAAAAGGGGGAGGGAACTTTTTTTTTCACTTGATATTTCAAGAGTGAAATCAGCCATGGAGTCACTGCTGTGTCCAACTCGTGCTCTCTGTTAGGCTTTTAACTTGCTTAATTCAGTCTCCTAAAATACTTCCCCCTTGGCTTTCCTCCTGCAGTAAGGCAGATTGTGTCAGTCCACACACAAGTAAATGTGCTTTCAGACTGTTTCTCCTCAGACATTTTGTCAGGACTTTGGAACCCGGAATCCAACCAGTTTTTTTGTGCCAGGAATTAAGGAACAGACCCCCAGTGCCAGGGCCACACACTCCTGGCACTGTGTAGCTTCAACAGTCACTGCCTGTCCCTAAAGGATTCAGAACCTGAGTACAGGTGGGTGCTCAAATCCAGGGGTTTCTTGGCTTATTGGGAAAGTTTTCTTGCAGTGTGGGTGTTCTCTGGAGCAGCCTGATCCTGCAAACTGTTTCCCACCTGAAGGGCTGATTTTGGTTGCACCCTGAAACACAGGCTGATTCCACCAGCCCTGGAGGAATCCGTGCAGGGGAGGGAAGAACTTGCTGAAGGTTTTCTCAGTGCTGGGTGAGTTGATCAAAGGCCCAGCACAGCCAGGAGGGCCCTGGTGAGATCCAGGTTACCCCCTTTAAATCATTTTCTAGCAAAACCTGCCTCATGGCTTCTATTTGGACAGCTGCCCCTGTGCTATGGATGCTCTGCCAGGTGAGCTAGAGGAAGATCCTCCTAGAAGAACACCCTAAAATGCCAAGTTTCTGGCATGTCCAGCCATCTTCCTTTGACTTAGACCTTGGTGGAGTGAAGGCAACTAAGAGCCAGAAGTGTGAGGGGGTTAGAGCCACTCTGAAGCCCCTGGGTGTGAATCACTCATTTTCCAGCTGAAAAAGAGTGGGAAGATGGGTTGTTTGTGCCAGCCCCTGAGTTTGCAGAGGCCATGGATCTAATTTTAGCACAGCATGCCCAGGCTTTACTCAGATTTCCACCATGATCCCACTCAAATTGACCCTGTGATTAAAAAAGCTGAGGCATCGAGAGGAAGATGACCCTTGTACCCTAAAGGTCATTTTTGGTGTCAGATGTGAATCCCAAGATCCTGATGCATCCAGGAAGGTCAGGGACGGGTGTAGTCCTTGTGGGAGAGCAAAACAAGCAGGAGCCAGTTTTTATGGACCGTGAATGAAATGGTTAAACAATAATGTGTTGGGGACTCTCAAACTCAGGGATGGGTAAGAACAAGAAGAATTCAGGAACTGAAAACTGCATCAGCATGAGAGGAGGCCAAGGTGTAACAGCACTCCAGCTTTGCCCTGTTGCTGCACCTCTGCAGGTTGCAGGGAGGGAAATCAGTTCATATTCTTGGGGAATAACTGGGAAGTGGGGATACAATTCCCTGAAATCTGGAGAATTTCTTGATTGTCACCCAGCATGTTTCGAAGTTGTGCCCATCAAAGACTGGGCACATCTCTTCCAGAGGGTTTCTGGCTGCTTTGGGAATTGTCTCAGCTGGAGATGCTGTGCCAGGTCTCAGCTCACCCGACTCCACTGACCAGTTGTGCCACAAGATTCCCCTGCACCTACAAACAAAACCCTTGGCTTGTCGTTTCCAGCTCTGTATTTTATGCAGGTAATTGTCATTTTTTCCAGCTTTCTCCTGGGACAAGGCCTTTCCATAGCTGTTCCTGCAAAGTGTGGCACAGGAAGCCCTTACCTGCACCTAAAATTCCAAACAATGTTGGCTTTTCCAGGTGGTTTTTCTGTTCCCTTCAAGGCTGTGACCGAAGCCTCCCTTTATTAAATCAGAGCCAGACTGTGCTGCTGCAGCCCAGATGCTTTGCTTGATTTGTCCTGTTCCAGGGCAGTTTTTCGACACCATCAAGAACTGAAGTATAAACAAACAGGAAAAGATTCTGTTTCGCATCAGAACTATTTTACCCCTCTGACCCGTTCTGGTTCACCACTTCCCACCAGAATCTGGGTCAGAAGCTCAGAGTT